ACTAATCAAACTTAAAGCAGGGTTCTTAGTATGAGATACATGTAGTAATATATTCTCAATGACATAATAAGGCTGAAAACATTATTTTTTATTATGTTATTTTTTTTTCACTTATCATAAAGCATTAAATATTAAAGAGATACATTAAGTGCTGAAATCATATGTATAATGGTCATCTAAAGTAATTATTATACCCCCGCTCCAAAGGAGAGGGGGGTATACTGTTTTTCCCTTGTGTGTCTGTATGTCCGTCTGTCTGTGTAGCTGTGTGTCCATCCGAAACAAATTTTCGTCGCAGTTAAGAGTTTTCTCAGCAACTACTCATCATAGATGCTTGAAATTTTAAAACAATCTTCTCTGAGGCATGCCATATGGTGGGATACATTTTTGTTTAAATCCGAAGTCAACTTCCTGTTTGTCTGTGCGTCTGTCAGTTTCATACATAACAAATTTTCGGAGCAGTTTTCTCAGCAACTACGCACCGTAGATGCTTGAAATTTTAAAACAATCTTCTCTGAGGCATGCCATATGGTGGGATACATTTTTGTTTAAATCTGATGTCATCTTCCTGTTTGTCTGTGCGTCTGTCCGTTTCATACATAACAAATTTTCGTCGCAGTTTTCTCAGCAACTACTCAATGTAGATGCTTGAAATTTTAACACAATCTTCTCTGAGGCATGCCATATGGTGGGATACATTTTTGTTTAAATCTGATGTCAACTTCCTGTTTGTCTGTGCGTCTGTCAGTTTCATACATAACAAATTTCCAAGCAGTTTTCTCATTAGCTATGGTGGGTTTAATTTTGATATGAATATGATGTCAACTTCATCTGCCTGTAATTGAACTTGTGTAAACAGTTTATTAACATGATAGTGCTTATTTACATCAGAGCGGGGGTATTACTAGTGAGCATTGGCTCACAGATTTCTTGTTGATATTGGTATATTAAAGGACATTGATGATCTTTCAGATTTCTAAGTTATATTCAAGCATTATAATTCTGACATCATATAATAATTTTGTATGAATATTGCAGATCATAGGTGATGTGAAGAAAACCAGGAAACTGATGTTGAAAGAAGTACTTAATGACCCTTATGAATGGACTTAAATGTGAAAGACTGTTCCATTGTTTATCTAAGATATATGAATTTATTTAATATTTTGATATCATTGAAAAATTCAGTTACAGTTTTTGTACATCAAATAAATTATTAAACATATAAAATGGTAATGCTTTTTTCTTTTACATGTAATAAATTTTTTGATAGATTTTCAAAAGAATACGCTTTATTTCACATTGCTTCCTTTAGAAAAGTTAGGGAATCTTGAAGTTTCCCAGTAATTTCCATTAGGAATGGGACTCCAGATAATTCCACCAAGTTTCCGCCACACAGAAAGTGCTACACAAGTTCCATATAGTTTCCTGAGTCAAGGAAACTTCAGGAATCATAAGTTTTCACGAGCTTCCATGTAGTTTCCCATATAAGAAAACCTTAAGATTCCATCAAGTTTCCATTCCACGGAAACCACTACGCTCATATTCCATATGGTTTCCTGAGTCGAGGAAACTTTAGGAATCGTGAGGTTTCCCGAGCTTCCATGTAGTTTCCCGTATAAGGAAACCTTAAGATTTCATCAAGTTTCCATTCCACAGAAACCACTACGCTCCGTTTCCATATGGTTTCCTGAGTCAAGTAAACTTAGGGAATCATGAGGTTTCCCGAGCTTCCATGTAGTTTCCCGTAAAAGGAAACCTTAAGATTCCACCAAGTTTCCATTCAACGGAAACCCCCTACGCACCGATTCCATCAAGTTTCCTGATTCTGGAAACCAGTGGAATCTTCAGGTTTCCCATTACGGGAAACTACATGGATGTTCGGGAAACTTCAGGTTTACAGAGGTTTCCGCGGTTCGGGATACCTTATGGAATCGGAGCGTAGGGGGTTTCCGTGTCACGGAAACTTGGCGGAATAACCTAGCATCCGCTACGGAAACCACTGGGAAACATAATGTAAACTTGAGGTTTCCATATGGTTTCCATAAAGTTTCCCATGATGGGAAACCACTTTTTTCACCCAGTGCCAAGTCGATGTCTCATTTGTACAAAACGATCGTTCTACCGTCAGTACTTTACGGGTGTGAACTCTGGAACAATATGACATCCGCGGATAAAGTTCGACTCAACACATTCCAACACTTTATTTGCAAAAACTCACTCAACTTACCAAAATTGTGCCGGTCAGACATGTGCGAGTCATTCTTTGACGTATTACCCATATGCTCTGAAATTGACGCACGTAAGCTTTTATTTTTTGGAAGATTAATTCGTTTGAATCCAAAGACATTAACAAAATCAATATTTCTTGTAAGACTATTTTCTTATCTCCACAACCTCTCGGATGATCAATTTGGCTTCATTCCTAATATCATAAGGACTCTCCAATCATACAACCTTGTCTCCTATTTATGGAAATTCCTGGAGGATGGCTCTTTCCCTATGAAATCTGCTTGGAAGAAAATGGTACGCGGCAGTGTCACGGCTTCACACATCTCTCAGCGCCAAATACGAATGTCTCACGACCCTGATTTTAATTCCTTCACACAAATTTTCTCGGACTCGAAACCCTTTTCTATCTGGGATATAGCCGAAAATTACAAAGAAATTGAACTCTGCAAGTTCATCTGTAAACTATGTACCTACTCATGCTCAAAGGAACATCTCCAAAACTGTGTCATTTGTGGAAGAACATTCTCTAATGTTTTTCAACATTCCACGTGTACATGCCCTGCAACCAGTGAAGTAAGAAACAACTGGTGGAATGTGATCACGAACTGTTTTGACGTACGTCTATCCGCAGAGCTGTGTGGCTTAACCGAAAATGAGTGGGTTTTAGCCCTATTGGGACGCCATACAAATTATGAATCAGGCAATGAATCTTTTCGGTTATTAAATTTTAACTTTGTTCGAAGTGCAGCCGCGCACTACAACAGGGCACTTCCTTAACGCTGTCAGGCACAAAATAACGTGTAACTCCCCCCTTTTTTTCCATTTTCCTTCCCATCCTCAGCAGTCCTTTAAAGGTCTTGTAAATATGTTTCTGTTCTGTTTATATGTATGTTTTCTCATATATTGTCTTTTTGTGTTTTTCATATTTGTATGTTTATCTGTTTAATTGGAACTAGTGTAATATTTATTTAATTGTATATCATAGTTCATATATTTCCATGAGGAGGAAATAAAGAATGATTGATTGATTGATTGATAGCATTTATCATTTATGGAACAAACTAAAAATAAAATTTTATCAAGTTTATTCTGAAGACAACTTTTTGTTGTACAAATAACAAAGAAACAGAATTTTTAAAACATATTTGCTAATAAAAAGTGATTAAAAACTAAAAAGGTTTGACAATGACTAGATTAACAGTAAAGTAAGCACATGATCTACCAAATTACCAATACTTGATGTTTTTATTTAAAAAAAAATAAAGAGATCCACGTTATTGTGGCTTAGTCTGCATCGCTTTTTAGAAACAATTTGTCCCCCAAGGCTGAAGACCCTTTCCGATGATACGGAGGAGGCAGGAATAGCCAGAAACTTTTTTTATTTAATAAAAAAATAAACGTTTAAGAAAATCATGTATTAGTTTAAAGGAATCCCAATAAATTTTTTTTTTTAAGAAAAGTATAAAATACTAACGGCTGATGTCGTGGTGCGTTCGGCGGTCTAAAAGGAAAAAAGATATTTATTTGTCTGATCTAACTATTTATCTATCTGACTATATTTTAATAATACTTTTGTGATCCTTTTTTCTGCGTAATTTTATTTTTTCCAAAATAAAAAAAAAGGATTATAAATACTCTTGTAATATACTAACCCATTTTTGCTGGACTTTTTCCCCACAGGACTAAGGACTAATAAAAAATATTTAAGACAAAATTAATTTTTTTTCCCCCTTTTTTCTTTTTAAGTACGTAAAAAATAAATAAGAATGAGGAAATTATTAAAGTAAGGATTGAATTAATACACTCACGAAACATCAGGCGTACTGTAATGAAATTTACAGACTAAATGTAAAAAAAATTAATAAATTATAAAAATTAATAAAGTGTGAGTAAAAATAAAACAATAAATTTCTTCACACGTAATTATATAATCTCAATACCTGAAAAACGTTTTCCTCTTATGCATTCGTAGTGCCATTCTAAGATAAAAATAATTCACATCTAAAGTAAATGATTCATACTGATTTAATTTAAAATTAAAAAAAAAATAAGCAGAAAAACGGTAGCAAACCCCCCCCCCCCCCCCCAAAAAAAAAGAATAGAAAAAAATAATAACAACTCACGGACACTCAATAGTCTTTATATCTTCCATGATATAATTAAGAAGTTTTAAAATCTCCTCTCTTTTTTCACAAGTGCAACTTAAAAAAAGAAATAATGAAATAGTTTTCTTTTTAAAAAAAAATCGCGCAAGTTTTAATGAAAATACACTTACTTGTATGATGCCATATCCCTGTTATAATTGGAACCAGAGTGAAGTTCTGAGGTGTTCACTCAGTTTTTATAAGAAAAAAAATAACCATGTGATTCTTTTCATTGTTTGGGTAGAAATTTTAAAAATAACTTTTCGTACAATGACTATAGCAAGAGGGTGTAACGAATTTTGAAATCATCACCTTCTATTGAGATCACGGTAACCTGACATATTTTTCACAGTCATACGGGTCGGTACGATGATATTTCCAGATTATCTCATTAATGATGTCAAACTTAATCAGTTAAACAAATTTAATCATGTCATTTGACGACAGTATCAAATTTTTCCTTCATTTCAACCCATTTCTATTTCACTCGCTTATCTGATACAAATGTACTTAAATTATTCATATTTTCTTTCCTTTTTTTCCTTTAAAATAATTTTACTGTTATGTATTCCATACTTTTCTACACATTATTCGTAATCGGAAATACGTTAGGATGTGAAATGGCCGAGTAGTTACGAATGAGTCTAGCTGATGTAATCATATACACTTGCCGTGGGAAAACTCCGCCCACTGTCAGTTCAAGCCAATCAAAACCACAAGATTTTAGCTAAGGTTGCAAAATTATAGATCTTTGATCTGATTTTTCCCAGGAAAAGACACAATGGCTTGCGACTTTCTTGCAAACAAACCTGTCTGTCCTGTTATGTTACCTATATTCAATATTTCACTTATTCAGTAAATTTATTACATTCCCAGTTTTAGGTGAAAGGCAGTTGGGATACTTTTACGATTTGTAGATCTCTTAATTTCTTATTTTCAGAACTCACTACAATGCCGTCACAGCAAGAAATGGGTAAGTACAGTCTTTTTCTGTGTTTTCTCATTTATTAGTTTAATTAGGGTCTTCCGTCTCCAACGGAAGACCCTTCTATTATTCTATTGTTTCTTTTTCACTATTATTATACGCCCGTCTTAAGACGGGACGTATTATGTTATAGGCTTCGTGTCCGTCCGTCTGTCCGTCTGTCTGTTAGCTTTTTCGTTTCCGGCTCATAACTTTAATACTACTAGGCCTAGGATTACCAAACTTTGTCATATGATGCATCTTGGGTAGAGGGTGTGTCGCACACAAAAAGTAGGTCGCTCTGACCTTTAATTAAGAAGTTATAGCCAAATATGAAAAAATCCTTTCCGGCCCATAACTAGAGAACCATAAGACCTACAATCATCAAACTTGGCCAGTTTATGCATCTTAGGTAGAAGGTGTGTCGCGACCTATTTCAAGGTCACTGTGACCTTTAATTTAAGTGGATTTAAAAAAAAAATGTGTCTTTTTACTATTCATTTACACATCCCAAATAATGTAAGAGTATTGCACTGTTCTTATTAAAAAGTGTTAAATCAAGAAAATAGTTATTTTTTTTTAAGCATATACTTGACAGCAATATAAAACAAATATAATGTATGTTAGAGAAATCCCATGTCTCCCATGAGTGTAATTATCAAGCACTGGTCAAGAAGAGTTTTGATAACAGAAAATTGCATGTCAAATTAGAGAGAAATTAATGGGTTTTGAGTGCGAGGAGCTATTGACAGAGCATTAGCGTTATCTATATCCCTTGAGAATTGGGCAAATGGGTAAGCCTGTTTGATTAAAAATAGCTCTTGTTGACTACCTTAAGTTTTGAAATGAATTTGATGAAAAGTAATTAAAACTAATTTGATATTGCATAATAGACTAATCTGATATTATGTAATATCATTAATTTAAAAACTAATTTTATGGGGTGGGGTTGAATCAGCATGTCCATATGAATTACATACTAATATCTGTCGGACATTAAATCTCAACCAAAAAAAAAAATCTGAGAGTATTTTATATGTTTAAAAAAAAAATTATAGTGCAGACCCATTCATCTCTTGGTAGTAATGAGTAGACAAGCATCCAGTTAAAGATTAATTAATGAGTTCAATGTAGGAAGGCTAGCTACATGTATCTCAGTCGCTCTGATTAAGCAGCCCTTTGGGGATTAGACAGAAGAACTGCTGGTCAGTTTATAACATATGTCGTTTGATGGCCAGCCTTTTTTTTCAAAATTAATTTGGTATAGATTAAGTTGTTAAGACTAATTTGATGATGGGCATCTGACAAGGTCTAACACAACCAGCACAGAAATCTATCAGTGATGTAATATTTATTATAATTGATGCCTACATCACAGGGGATGGATAAATGACAAATCATCGAATCAAGGTTGATGTGATTTCCTTGCACCTAAACTGTTCAAGAAAATTTTTTTGACAGGCGTATCATGTTGTGGCGCGGCACTTTATTATTATTTTTCTTCGTCCAATTTTTGTGCAGACGATTTTTCAGAGATGCGTGGACGGATTTCTTTGAAATTTTCAGAGATGATGAATCATGATCAAATCCTGATACATTTTTTTAATTTTTGAAAAATAACTTCCGGTCGGAAGTTATCGACCATTAATCGAATTTTTAGTGACCATTTTGTCGACACAAAAACTCAAAAACTACAAAATCTAGAATGTTGTTATTTTTAGGACTAATAGATGACATGTTGTAGTTTTGCACTATACTTTCAAATCTTCCGTCAGTGCTTCCGGTCGATACCGGAAGCGAATTTAAAAAACCCGCAATTTTTAAACTTTTTTGTTTTCCAATATTTTTCTTTGATATTAAATATCCTTACAGTGACTCTTTTGCGAATGCAAAATATGCAATTTGTTTTAGAATCAAAAAAGGCAATCTCGAGATTTTCGTATTTAAAAATTTGAAGCGATGTTTTCAATGGCCGAATGGTTAGTGCGTCGGATTGTCACGCGGGCGTTCTGGGTTCGCTCCCGCGAATGTCTGAATCTGTCTGAATTTTTTTTGTCACTTTTCTGCTAGATTTTTCGTTTTTTACTTCAGAGTCGGACGGAAGACCCCTCGTTGCTCGCAACGAGATCGTATCTAGTTTTATTTTTATTTTTGTTCACTGCTGACTTGCATTTTTCAATTGACTCTAGATTTCAACACTTCGCTTCGTCACAACGTGACCGACCTCATGACAAAAGCGACTACTTCGTTTTCCGTCAACACTCACAAGTCTGGACCTTTCTCTGTATTCACAAAGAGACACAAACAAAATGCACAAACTTCAATTGCAAATTATAATGTGTCCTCAAATCGTGTACTAACACATACGGCTCAGTCCAGTACACTATACACTATACAGTACATGACTGAGTCTACTCAGAAACGTGATACCCTGGACAATGTTACTTCTGTCATTGACACCACTCGGGCACACAATGTTACTACTCCCATTGACACCACTCGTTCGCGCAATGCGCAGTACGGTTAAGGCAACCCATGGAAAAAATATGGTAATGAGGTCATTATGAGGTTTGACGTCACGACAGTTGCTCCGCCCTGATTGATCTTTATAAGGAAATAGAGCTCAATATAACTATTTACCGATATTTGCTAGAATATGTATTAAACGGCAATATTTCCATGTCTAAATAAATAATTATTAGTGATTTTCTCCTATATAGAATGGCATGTTTTTTTAAAATATTCTCTTTCTTGTGTGCCGTTTGGCTGCATTCGGCTTCAGCCCAGCGCTTGCACTCGATGACACGGAATGTTGTTAACATCTAAAAACGTGGCGACATCAGCTGAGATATGCAGTGGATTTAAATGCAAAAATCAGACATTCTTTAAAGAAAATAGGGATAAGATAAGAGACAATGCATTGTTTATCCCTATTACAAGAATATGAGGAAATTATTACAGAAAATTATGGAAAAGTGAGACGATCTGCACCAGCTCCCTAGATCCATCACTGCAGTGCATTCAGCCCAGGTATGTATGCACATGTATGTACATTAATATGTAGATAAGCTTCTTTTAACATCGAAGAAAAAAAACTATCGCGAGTGTGTACGTGTTTATTTAGATGTATTTTTACAGTCAGTGAAAAACTAATGCAGTGCAGTGTGTCCCAACCTCCCAACAGCCCACAAAAAGTTGATCATTTTGTTTAACTAGAAATTTAAAAATGTAATTTTACTAAATATAGAGTCGATTAGCTTATTTTCTTTGAGTTTTATGTTTTAAAAGGGGGTTCAACAGTAATACAAACTTAGACTAAATTAAATTTGAAATTTCATTGCTGCAGTCAATGTGTTGACAATGATTTACTGAACATGTAATGTTGTTGTCTTTTTGGCATACAAACATGCTACATATAAATGTTAAAAATATTATTTGTATCACTGTGATGAAAACAAATAACCTCCACTTTAGATCTATGGTTTTAAATTTTTAGAATTTCTAAATTAATGGGGTATAAAATATTTATTTTTTATGCCCCCGTAAACGAAGTTTGGGGGTATATACTTTTTGTCGTGTCTGTCTGTCTCTCTGTTTGTCTGTTTGTCCGCAAAAACTTTAACCTTGTCCATTACTTTTGATTTAGTGGAGCTATGACTTTAATATTTCATATGTGTATTCCTTGTGACAAGACCTTTCTTTGGGTACCACCAAATTTGACCTTTTGACCTTGACCTTGGAGTTTGACCCACTTTTACATGAAAATTTTAAAATTTTATTTTGGCCATATCTTTTGAACAGTAGACACCAGGGCATATATACTTCACATATTCAATGTTTGATAAATGACCTTTTACTGGATACCAACGACCTTGACCCTTTGACCTTGTAGTTTTTAATACTTGTGAAAAAACTTTAACCTTGACCATAACTTTTGAACGGTAAGGGATAGGGCTTTCATACTTCATGTATGTAATCCTTGTGAGAAGACCCTTCATTGGATATGAAGATCTTTGACCTTTTGACCTTGACCTTTGAGCTTGACCTACTTTAAAAAAGCAAACCTTGACCATAACTTTTAAAGAGTTAGGGCTAGTGCTTTCATACTTTACCAATTTGATTCTCATGACAAGACTTTTCATTCGATAACAATAACTTTGACCCTTTGACCTTGAACTTTGATGTTGACCTACTTTTTAAGAAACAATTTAAAATTTTACTTTGGCTATATCTTTTGAACAGTAGACACCAGGACTTTTAGACTTCACATTTGTAATGTTTGTTAAAAGACCTTTCACTGGATACCAACAACCTTGACCCTTGGACCTTGACCTTGTAGATTTTCGTACTTGTGAAAAACTTTAACCTTGGCCATAACTTTTGAACATTAAGAGATAGGGCTTTTATACTTCATATGTGTAATCCTTGTGAAAAGACCCTTCATTGGATATGAAAATCCTTGACCCTTTGACCTTGACCTTTGAGATTGACCTACTTTAAAAAAGCAAACCTTGACCATAACTTTTAAAGACTGAGGGCTAGTTCCTTTCATACTTTACATATTTGATCCTTATGACAAGATCTTTCATTTGATAACAACAACTTTGATCTTTTGACCTTCACTTTGGAGTTTGACCTACTTTTTAAGAAATTGAACGTTAACCATAACTTCTGAACGGTTACGGCTAGGGCTTTCATGCTCTACATAAGTATTTTATGTGGCAAGACCTTTCATTTCATACTAATTACATTGAACTTTTGACCTTGACCTTGTAGATTTTTGTACTTATTAAAAACCTTAACATTAGCTTACTTTCAAATTTCACAATTGTTTTCCAGTTCCAATACCCTACTTTTGGTACCAATTAATTAAATTTGCATTAAATAAAAGCTATGTTGCCATACGGGGGCATCAGTGTTTTACAAACACATCTTGTTTTAGTTTGATTTCATGTCAATTTTTAAGTCAATTAATTTCTGTAATTTATACATAATTATTTTTTTTAAATCATATGACATACAATACTTTTATTTTTGTAGCAGTCAAGAGATCAAGGCTTGAAGTATAAATAAATACAAAATACATCCATTTCCCCACAGGGTATGTACACTTATAAAGCATTTCACATTTTTTTTTACCATGCATGTGTGCATGATTAGGCCTATATTTATTTTTCATTCTGATAAAGATGAAAGAATGTTTTTTTCATATTCTAATCATTTGTTAAATTCTTGTTAATGTCGGAGGTTTTAATTTCCCAGAAGAGTTTTGTAATACAACTTTGTTTCCATTTAGCTTTCATATGAATTTCATTAATTCACTACAGTATACAATATATCATGAATTGTTTTGTCAAATGTAAAGTGATTTTATTTTACAGTGTATTTTATTTAGTAATCTCATACCAATAGCATATATAATGTGTTGCAGATATTCCTAAAGAATAAAACCAATGGAATCATTCATGATCAGACAGCAAGTTAATCCATTATGCAAGGAAAATGGTATGCTCCATATTAGCTATAAACCAAATTACCATGCAATATTCCTGGAAAACATTAAAATATAACAGTAGAATTGCAAACATTTAATTATGCATCCAATGCTTGTTTTCATGCATTGATCTGAATTTAATACAATTTTAAACACCAATTTACTCTCAATAATGTTATGTTACTACATGTAAGTCCTGATTTTCTCATACATGTATTTTCAGAATTGATTTCATCCACAAGAACATGAAGTCATGGGAAAAAATTGCAGCTGCCCAGTATTCCTTGTACAGTCTATCTTAATTTGAAAAGCTGTTAATGAAATAAAATTTCTTCATAAAAAATTATTTGACTTTTTCATAAACATGTACTTACTGTACAGGTGTTGAAAAGGCTTTTAAGATTTGATAATCTTGACTTGCATATATTTGTGTGGCGGGTGCCAATGTCCATCAAGTTTTTATTTCCAGCATGTACATTGTGTTAATTTGTTTTTCTTAATAAAAGTAACTACAAAGGAGATTAAAGGCCCCCCTAATTGATTCAAAACAAGAAAGGGGACCACCATTTTATTGTGAAGGGAAGAGGGGGGGGGGGGTGGCAAGTTTTCCCAAGTCATTATTTTTTTAATTTCTTTTCATGTCAGTAAAGGACAGGTCTACTAATATTTATTTCCAATAAGATGAAGGACAGATTATTTATTTTCCTCCCTACAGAAAAATGTCTGAAAAGCTAAAAAAATTATTTGAGGGGAAACACTGGTCTGGGGCAGTTTAATTTTTTTTATCCTGTCTGGGACATATTTATTTTCAACATTTTTAGATCTAACCCCCCCCCCCTCCCGGTCCCACCCCCTTTTTGGAATAAAATGGCAGTCCCTTTAAAAATATAGGAATTTGTATGTTTTTCACTAAGTCTTTGTTCTTAAAACGTATAACTTAAATCCCATAGGAGTTGAAGGTTTTAAAGAAAGCCATGATATAATCTTGTATGCGAAAAAAAATTGTACACAAGTGTACACATGTACAGTAGTGACAGAGGAATATGATTATCAAATTAATTATTGATGGTGGCTATCAATTGGCTATTATAATTGAACATCCCCATTTTTATTAACAATCAGCGTTTTAGATAATATGATGCGGCAAACTTTACACCTACATTTACACATAGCTGTATGTGTGTTTACACAGATTCGAGGAAATGCGGAAGTCTGAAAGACGTCTTATAACATACATAATTCACGAGAACGAAGTCACAAAATAGAAAGTAATATCCAGTGTTTTATGCACACTGTTCGATTACCGGTAAGTAAAATGATCCCAGCGCATGTGGAGGAGATGTGGAGATGTGGGTGGGGGCAAGAGCTCAAGAGTATACAGACCGAGAAGGTGCTTGCGGAGACATTGAGGATTTAGAACTGACGGAGGCAGGGTACAATCTAAGAAGTGGGAAAAATGAAATGGTAATTATTTCGTTATATTAAGACCTCACTTTATACGTACTGTATGTACACATACAATTTAGTTTATTCATGTGATTTAGCTTTGAGATTTTATTTAATACTTCAATATACTGATGAAATAACCTAGTGGAATAACCCGCCCCTTCCCTTTCCCTACACTTACAGGGAGTAAGTGTACATTGTGTATATGGACAGCGCCACGTTGACTTGCAGGAAGCAAGTGCGAGATCTGCAAACAATATGTTATGTCTTTTCCTAATAAAAAAAAATACAAGTGTTACCAACTGTGTACTTTTTTAATATCTTTAATTATTTTTACCCTACTCGAAGATTAATAACTTTCATGTCAACATGCAGACATGACATAAAAGTTAAATGGTATTGGTATATTTTTATTAACGTAAAAACAAAACCATATCAGTATCTCATTTTACAGTCAGAAAAGTATTTCAGGTCACTGATCTGTGAGTCGGTACTCACCTTTTGATACATATTGAATGTATTATTGTTTAATAAGTTACTCGAGCATAACACAGAAATCGTCTGTCCCTTACTTTGCAATAGCCTTT